AATTCAAATTAAAGAGGGAAGCCTAGCTGCAAAGAAGACGTCATGGGAGCAGATTGTTCAGAGCCATAACCAAAGATTGTGGAAGTGTATTTTGACGGTTGAAAGTCTACTTCGACGATTACTATTGGAAAGTATAAATAGAGGAGAAAGCCCCAGAATGAGGGACCTAGACTCAGATTCAAAAAATCAGTTTATTTACTTCTTATTTCCTTCCAGTTTTATATTTTGTAGTTCTTTATATTTTCAGCACTTCAATTCCTGTACTGCACTTCATTTTCTAGGAGTAGTTTTAAGTAGTCGTTGCTATAAACCTTTTCAAGGCTGGGTCGTTTCATTGTAAGTTCCTATTTACTCAATGAAATTCAGTTTCTGAATTGTTTTGTATTTATTATTTCTTATAAATTTCTCCTAAAACAAGCTACCAGTAAAAGTCCTCTTCATTGAGACTGAAAGAACTTCAACACAATGGTCTGATAATTGGTTAGCAATTAAAATTCTGTAAGGACTGATTGATCGTTGATGGCATGCTTAAATTTATACAATTAACCTTCGAAAACCAAAAAAGCCAACATAATCATAATAAAATGAAACGGCTACGATTTATTAGATTAATTTAATTTTTTTGTGAATGATATATACAAAAAATCTTACAAAATGAACTGTTTAGATTATCAAAGTAAGACCTGCGGAGAAGCCCATGGGTCAAGTTTATATCTAACCCAATTCTATTTAACCCGGAATGATATCTAACCCAATTCTATTTAAAAAATATGTGTACCATACACAATTAATAATGAAAATATACAATTAATTGATTGGTTAGAAATTTTTTTGTAAAGAGTGATAGCGATACATTTTTATAATTAAGTAATCAAAATATATAGGTTTGTAGTTAAGAAAATTTTACATTGCATTTGATTTACTGAAATGAAAATAGAATAATCATTTCTCAACTTTCATATAGGATTACTATTCTTTTATAACTTTAAATAATGATTTTATTTATAATATATATATTTTATTAATTTTTTAATAAACCAAATATAAAAATATACATTTTAATAGAATGATTTTTACAATTCACATTCATTTTAGTAAACCAACCATTAAAGAAACCTATATTTTAATCAAATAGACACATATATAGTTTTCTGGTTGATCCTGTTGGCCAACATGGATTTTTTGGTCAGAAATTTACCTAACCCCACTTTTCCATCAAGAAAACAAGGGAGCTTCTATATACACACACCAAACACCCTTAATACACACTTAATAAAGGAAATGTGTGAAAAGTATAGTGAGGAGAGATGTGTAGAGAGTGGATGTTGTGGGTGTAAATAGAAGCTCCCAGAAAACAACGTTAACTTTAAGTTTGAGTGCTCTACTCTACATATATATATAGCTTTATGCTATGTTTGGAATTATATGTTAGGCTTGGATTTAGAATTTGATGATGAAAAAGAAAAATAAATGGAAATTAAAATACTTCTTATTCATTAAATATAGATAGTTATTTTTTTCTTGTTAATTTCTAAACCAATCAAACAAAAGAAAGAAATTAAGCTCTCTCATTTCACTTTCTTTCCCTTTTCTCTTTTATTTAAATTTTTTATGTGATTTTATTAATCAATTTAAGTTCCAAAAAATAATAAGTGATATAGATTTTAGGATGGAAATGCACATTTTTTGGTTATTGTTCAACTTAAAGCCAACTTTATGGTTTGTGATTTCGTTTGGAAAATGAGTTGATTTTTTAGTTTTTTGATTTTTTTTAATCACAACTAAAAGGTCTTGTTTAGGTTAGGTTTTTTAGTTTTTTTTTTTTGTGAGAAAAATAGTGAAATAATTATAGTTTGGATGTGATGTTTTTGTCTTATTGATTTTTTAGTCTATTTCATTAAAATATTTGTTCTTATATTTTGTTAATTAAAAAAATAATAAAAAATATATTATAAATGAAATTATCATTTATTATTATAAAGTAATAATCATTCCATAAAATAGCCTAATGAATGAAGTCTGAATTTGTTAAAATTAAAAATCTCAACTTCACGGTAAAATTGACCCATTATCGGACTAATTTGGATTCATTTTGCAAATTTAAACCGTTCATTTGATACAACTAATTGAGAAAATTATTTATGCAAAAAATTAAATTGATCAAATATTGATTGTCATATTATTAAATCATTTTTATTGATTGTCAACGATTCAATATCTACATGTTTTTAATAATAGACCGTTCATTTGTTATAATATATATGTAATTTAATCTTATTATTACTTATGCTTGATCAAATATTTTGCATGCATATTTTTTTCAGCTTATTATATTATATGAATGGTTTATATCATTGACATAAATAAATATTAGTCTCACTCACATTTCACCAACTTCACTTATGAAATTAAGATATTCAACTTTTATGAATCCAAAGTCTAATGAATAACCATTCATCTCATTCTACTAACCAAATAGAGTATTAATGGTGGGTTTTTGTCAAGGATGTATGTAACCACCTCCACTATCATAGAAAAGATATATTATAAACATGTTTTGCTAGAGACTAAACTACCCTTTTCTCTAATTTCTTTTATTTTAAAATTATATACTTTTAGTAACAGAGCTTTTTTTTAGTTTTTTTTTTAATCATAAAAGTAAATAGTTTTGTCTTTAAATAACATTTTGTGGAACTTTTTTTATATTATTTTTTTATTTTAAATGCCTTCTATTTTCAATCATAATTAAACTATATGGTATAAGGAAAATGAATATAAAAATCATGAAAAAAATAAAGGGCATATAATTCTTTATAATTATTATAAAAGTAAAGGACATATAAAAATTTTAAAAAAAGTAATGAAAAAATAAAGGGCATATAATTTTTTTATATTTTTTAAAAAAATAAAGGACATATAAAAATTTTAAAAAATTCACGACAAATATATGTACTTTAGTTTCTTTTTACACTATATAATTTAATTATGATTGAAAATAAAGGGTATTTAATTTTTTTTTTTGTTAAAAATCCACAAAATGTTATTTAAAAATAAAGACATTTAATTTTATGATAAAAAAATGTTTAAAAAATATTCTGTTACGAAAAATTTATAATTTTAAAATAGAAATAATTAGAAAAAACTATAATTTAGGCCAAGTTTGGGAAGACTAAAAAAGTGTACTTTTTGTCTTTTTGGACTAAAAAATTGAGGTTGAAAATATGGATATTTGGGTTAACTTTTTGACTTTTTATTGAAAAATGTGTAATAATAAAGGGTATTTAATTTTTTTTTTTGTTAAAAATCCACAAAATGTTATTTAAAAATAAAGACATTTAATTTTATGATAAAAAATTGTTTAAAAAAGATTCTGTTACGAAAAATTTATAATTTTAAAATAGAAAGAATTAGAAAAAACTATAATTTAGTCTCCAACAAAACATATTTATTATCTTTTACTCTTTTCCATGATAGTTGAGGTGTAGCCCTATTTAATGCATCATTCACAAGTGTCACTTTAATGATTTGTTACTAGAGAATTTTTCTTACTCTTCACAACAATCACATATATCAATTCAGTTTAGGTGCAATGTTAAAACCTTAACGTAGCTTTTGAATCTTAGATTTAGAGACAAATTTAGGGACAAAACAAAAGTGAATGAAAATTGTGAATGAAATACAAATTATTACTTTTATATTTTATATTTTACAATCTATGTATTGTTTTAACAAATTTCTTGCTTTGACCTATGTTAGTTAGGGAGTTTTTACCCAACATTAGTGTTTTTATTTATGTAGACCTACGTCCATATGGGAAAATTATACAATATTTTCAGGGTACTACATGTTCGTACTCTTTAATCAATCATCATTTATTATGTCCCTCATGTTCCTCAATAATCAACACGATACTTCCACTTACCCATCTTCTCTATCAATCACAATATTATGGAATATGACGTATCCGTACTTTCTAACCAATCATCATTCATTATGCCCCATCATATTTCTCAATCATCCAATACAATATCACACATACCTACTTTCTCCACCAATTACTGAATAACTACCCACCCATATGAGTATTTGATAAAAAAATTTTATGACAACTCTTTGAATCTGTATCTAGCATTTTTCCTCTACTTTCATAGCTATAAAAATGCTATTATCGAGTCAAATGTTAAAGTATTTCTTTCACAGTATCTGTCTTTTTTTTTCCTTTTTTCTTTTTTTTGATATATTATATTGTTGTAGATCAAATTTTTTTTTTTAAGAAAAAAAGAAAAGGTCTTGCTACTTGCACCATAATAAAATATGCATTAATATTCCAAAGGGAAATAGGTTGGCCAAAACCCACTTACAGTACTATCACCATAAGAAAAATGAGCATTAATATTCGACCAACTAATGTACTACAATCATCCACAAGGTACTAATCTCCTACCTGGACCAACTTAAGTAACCAAGCAAATACCAAACAACATTGGAGTGTTCGAAGAAAGGAATCAGACACGTGCAGCACCAAAAAGTGCAACACATATCCGTATTCGTTAATTAATTATTATTTATTATGTATTTTTATGTTTTCAATTACTTAATATAATATTTTATAAGTGATGCACCAGACCTTCAGTGGGGACCCCAGCACCCCACACACGTGAGGGATCGCAAGTGGAGAATACAAAAACAAAAAAATATATGGACCAATCAAAAATAACTGGGGTTTGTAGGGGTCACCTCTATGGAAGTCTCACTTATTCTTTATATTTTATATATCCACTTTCTACACCAATTATTGAATAATTACCCATCCATGAATATTTGATAAAAAAAATATTACAACTTTTTGAATCTGTAGCTAGCATTTTTCCTCCACTTTCATAACTATAAAAATGCTATTATAGAGTCTAATGTTAAAGTCTTTCTTTCAGACTCTGTTTTTTGTAGCAAGAAATTTCATTTTTCTTGTTACCAGTACTTTGCTCTCCCTATAAATCACAACCTTAAGCTCCACCAATTAATCCACCCCAACAAATATTCTCTCTCTCTCTCTCTCTCTCTCTCTCTCACTCTCACTCATATACATTTCTGTATCATATATTGATGGGTATCTGTGCTTCTTCCCAAACCACAATGGGTGGTGGTGGTGATATGAACTGGCCACCGTCGACCGCCATGATAATCAACTTTGATGGGAGGCTCCAAGAATTCCGGCAACCAATCACGGCAGGCTCAATCCTCAACCACCACCCAAATTGCTTCCTCTGCAGCTCAGAAACCATGTTTGTGGGCTCTCATCCTCCCCAAATTCCACACCATGAACAACTCCAACTGGGTCAAATCTACTTCCTCATGCCAATCTCCATGTCACAGTCATCACTCTCTCTGCAAGACTTATGTTGTCTAGCCATCAAGGCCAGTTCAGGGCTCAATAACAACAATTCATTCATGGTCATGGGGCATGAAACAACAACAAAATTATTATCAAACTCATCATTATCATCTCCACAATTTTGGGACAAGTCCTCTAGGGCTGGAGGGGCTCAGGGGTGTCGTAAGATTCCGGCTGGCTTTGATGTGGTTGGGGTGAATTCTCAGGTGGCGGCGGTGCGTGGCGGCCGGAGAGTTGAGTTCAATGATGAACAATGTTGAGTGGGACAGCCGAAAGGGGTGGTGGTGGTCCATTCTTGTATCAATTCATTTATGGGTTTGGTGGTTTAAGTTTTTATTTCGGAGAATATGGAAAAAGTTGAGGGTGGAAAAAATAATTTTAAAATGATGATATTTTAAGGTTTATTTTTTTTATTTTTATTTATATATATCTATAAATTTATGCCTCAGTTACTTGTATTTTCATTATTTTAAAATTATTTTGTTTCCACTTTATTTTTATTTTTTTTGTTGTTAAATTCTCCCCTTTTATTTTTAGAATTCCATCCCCTTTTTTTTTTAATTTAATTTGAATCAAATTAATTCAGTGTTATAGGGACGAGGTCAATAAAATAAATATATAATCATGAATGTAAGACTGTAAATGAGACAAGTTGAATGAAGTAATAGATTGTTTAAATTTATAAATTAAAAAAAATTAATAGTTTGTATTAAAATTTGATTCATTTACCTTTCAAATCAAATCAAATCAAATTTAAATAATTTTTATTTTTAAGTTCATCGAGGTGAGTATTTGATCATCCAAGATAAGTTTGAAAATTAATAAACTTTAAAATATATTTAAGTTTGATTTGTTTACACAATGAATCAATCTCAAATAAGTTTTTAACAAAACAAATACAAATTGAGCTGGAAAAATTAAGTTCATTTTACAAGCTTACGTAAAATATGTGTTTTGTGTCATTTAAACCATAAAATTTGTATTTCATCAATTTTGTCCCTATCTACCATTAAATGCAGACTATAGCACTGCTGGAAAATAGACTTTTAGTGGCATTTAAAAAACGCCGCTATAAGTATAAAAAACGCCGCTAATCCAATATGTGGCATTTAGTACCAAATGTCGAAGATGCGGCCGTCGCTGTAGCTTTGTGACGTTTTAAAAACGCCAATATATTAGTATAAGAAACGCCGCCAAATGTTCTACAATATACCCGCTAACGTCACCAACGATATTTAGCGACGTTTTCGAAACGTCGTCATATCTGTTTTAAAAAATATGACCGTTAGTGTTTAGGGTTTAGGAGGCGTTTGTAGAAACGCCGTCATATCCCCCCCTTTTTTTTTTGAAATTGTGCTAATTTTATTTGATTGAATTAAAAAAATACCTGTAATAATATTGACATATAAAATATTAACTCTCATTCAAATAAAAAATTAAGCATTAATTCAGTTTCTTATTCAATTAATATCCAACTCCCATTCAAATACCTGTAATAAATATAAAATAATAAATGAAGCATTAATTCAATTTCTCATGCAATTAATATCCAACTCCCATTCAAATACCTGTAATAAAACTAAGATATAAAATAATAACTCCCATTCAAATAACAAATGAAGCATTAATTCAGTTTCTCATTCAATTAATATCCAATCATCATTACCACTACAAGAATTTACATATTTTGCGACCACTTTTACCGACTAAAAAAATTTTGGTCGCAAAAAAATGACGTTTGGCGACCAAATATTAATTAGTCGCGAATGATCATTAATTTTGGCGACCAAATTTTATTGGTCGCAGAAGGTTATATTTTGGCCACCAAAAAATATGTTGGTCGCAGAAAGTGGTATACTTTTGCTGACCAACTACAAATTTGGTCGCGGAAGGTCACATATTTTTTGGCGACCAAAAATTTAGTCGCGAAAAACATATTTTTAGCAACCAAAAAAAAATTAGTCGCCAAATTAGTACTTTCAGCGACTAATATTTTAGTCGCCGTTGATTGAGATTTGGCGACTAAAAAAATTTGTCGGCAAAAGAACCTATTTTTGCGACTAATTTGACAGTTTGGTCGCCAAAAGTTTGGGGGGAAATTTGAAACGTGGGGCGGGAATTGAATTTCAGAAAAAAATTCCAGATTGGGGTAATGTAACAACCCTCACCACTGATTACCGATAAACATTGGTTATCGATAACTGACTTGATTACGACTGATAACTGGACTGATCATGACTGATAAATGAACTGATTAAAGTACTGAAATGACTGACTGAAATTGGAAACCGAATTGATTGAGTATATGTATGTTAATTGTAATCTATCTGTTTGATTGATTACTTTATATGTTCATGCTTATATGTTTAAACTGCTAATTGAAGGCCTTATCGGCGGCCGAATTGGAAATTGATTAGTGTTTTATGATCCTCATAATTAATGGGATTTTATGGTGTATTTATCTGAAAACTGTCTAGGTATGATTAAATTAGATTAAATAAGCTAATTAAGGAGTTTGGTTTATTTACCATATTGCCACCCTTAGTGGCCCACTACCTAGTGATGCTAGAGCCTTGCATACTTGACTCAAAACGTTTCCATCAGCCATTTCTCCTTGAGCTTAGCCGACCAAGAGAGGGAGAGAGTGAGAGAACTTGTCTTCCATCTTGGGTTTGCTTGCTAATTGAAGAACTTGAAGTGTAGATTGCTTAATTGAACCTCTAGACTTGCATTCAAGGAACCTAAGTATGAATTTCATCTTTTGATTTTGTCTTTAAGTTGATTCATGCATGGTTCATGTTAATTTGTAGAGCTAAGTCATGAATTGGTTCATTAATGGTGGATTGAAGCTCATTTCTTGCATGCATGTTAGTGTTGTTGGAGTTTGAGTTGAATTCATGGTAAAATAGTGCATGCATGTTCATAATTTTGTAATACTCCATGAGTTCATCTTGTTTTTGAGGGTTTGAGCTCTTTTGAAACAGCATTAAAGCTTTGAAAATGATTTAAGATCATGCATGTCGAGTTTGAGGATCGTTCTTGAAAAATGGTTTGAAATTGAGTTTGAATTAAACACCCTTGGGCTTGATTTCTCAAATTGAGCTTCGAAACATGTTATTCTATGTGTTTATAAATGTTTTCCAGAAAATGGGCCCAAGAGGATCGGTTTTGATGCATTTTAATTTGAGTTTGAGCTTGGAGGTGCAATCTGGAATTCCCAGATTTTGCACTCCCGCTCGAGCGGATGAATTGGCGCTCGAGCGGAGAATCCGAGCATCCAGTATCTCTCTGCACTGTTTTACAGTACGCTCGAGCGTAGTCATGTCTCAAGCTCGAGCGGGCGTCGAGCGGAGATTTCACCCATCCAGTGCTTTTACAGTACGCTCGAGCGGGAAATTTTACGCTCGAGCGTGTACCTTTGTTGCATGTCCGCTCGAGCGGAGAAACCTGCGCTCGAGCGTGACTCTGTTTTTCTGAAAATTCTGAAAATGCTTTTGAATGTACATCTTTGCATCCTCATCCCATTCTAGGCATTCTTAGGCCTAGTTTAAGGTATCTTATTGAGGATATAGATGTAGAACACACCGAGGCAAATTAGGGATTAAGTTATGTTATTTCTCAACTGTGTAGCTTAGTGTGTTCAATCTGTTAACTGTGTAGGGTTGGCGACTGGAGAGGCACGCTCTAGCATACTGTAGCCCGAACTTTGTGAGTAACGATTGTGTAAAGATATGTTCACAAATGATTATCTTCTGAACAACTGAACTGTACTGTTTTCTGAACTGATTACTGTTAACTGAATGAATGTATGTCCTATATTCTGAACTGTATTGTGGCATCCTTAGCACCTACTGTTTACTGTTACTGTGACAGAAATCTCTGTCGGTTCCCTCGTGGAACCACTACTGTTTACTGACTGATGGCCATCATTACTGTTCGGTCTTTTAAGACCTACTGTTACTGTTATGCTAATGGATGTACCACATATGACTGTTTACTGTACTGAACAACTGAAATACTGATTGAATTGAACTGTTTCCATTACTGTAAGGACATTCATTCTAAACCCCTTTACACTTTATGTTATTCACTGGGCTTTAGCTCACTGCTCATATATATATGTAGGTGTACAACTGACTGATTGATTACCGATTACCGTTAAACTGAATTGATTATGACTGATAATTGGACTGACTAAAGTACTGAACTGACTGACCGAAATTGAAACTGAATTGAATGAATACATCTGTTTGAACTGCATTCTATCTGTTGATTGTTTATTTGATCTGTTCGTATTTTAGTGTTTAAACTGCTAATTGAAGGCCTTATCGGCGGCCGAAT